TTTGAAAAAACAAGATATTGAGATATACCTCAAAAAACGAGAAGTTCAATTGTTTTGTGAATAGTTCGTTGAAATTGCAAGAAAATTTCCTACAACTCAGGTCTGACTATTTCTTTTCTAGGTTAAAAAACAAAAAAGTTAAAGTGGATAGAATGTTACATGCATAATCCTGTGCGAGTAATATAACAATTTTTTTATTTTAAAAGAACGCAGAACTCTGATCCACACTATGAAAGAGCTGGTCATAAATATCCTAACTATGAAACGTTGATATGCTTATATGTTAAATTTGCGTTCAAGTGTTTCTAAATGGAAAATGGTAAAATTATTATCCAATATACTTAACACTCCATAAATAAAACTACAAACTTAGAATATGCCTGCCTTGTCAATGAAAAACTCAATGCATACAAACGCAAAAACAGTGATTATTACAATCTACCGCCAAAGGATTGAGCCCAGTAATCATCAAAGAAATTACTTAAATAAGACTTATTTTATTTTTACCACTATTAATATTTTCGATTCATATAGTTGCCAAGTTCGGACTACACAAAGAGGTAATAATTATTGGGATCAATCTATTAGCTGTAGTTTGTTGTAATCACTGTTTCTGCATTTCTACAATGATGATGAGATTCATTGACAATGCAAATATACTCTATATTTTTAGTTTTATTGATAGAGTGTAAGGACATTAGAATAGTCATTTTACCATTCTCAATTTATTACATATACATGTATATATATATATATATATATATATATATATATATATATATATATATATATATATATATATATATATATATATATATATATATATATATATATATATATATATATATTGTAATGTTTAAATATGTATATATACAAATACATACATAAATCGTGGGGATGCAGTTATTTAGTGGCTAAAATAAATTAAAAATCTCTGTTTTTTATCACGCTTTCGGAATTTTTTTTATTCTATTCTCAAGACGTGATTATAAGAATAAAAATGAATACATGGCATAAAAATTGTTTTAAATAAAATGTGTAAAATATCAGAAATAAAAAGTAAAATAGTTCAATTTAGACAATTTAAAATAATTATACAAATAGTAACAAAACATAGGTAGGTTGATCCCATATGAGTAATTATTCATGATAAATCAAATAGAAAAATTCTCATAAAATTCCTTTATTAACGTGACCGGTTTCGTGAACAAATTAATTACTTCACATCATCAGACACAGGAATTTTTATAAATAAAAGACCAGGGTCGTCAAATTAAAATTAAAATAGTTTTGCAACATAGTCAAATAATCAGTAAATGTAAGATATAAAATTTTTTTGGTATCTAATTAACTTTTAATAAAATTTTTAAATTTAACGTGCTTGTTCTTTTAAACACACACTCAGTGTATGTATGTGTTTAAAAAGAACAAGCACGTTAAATTAAAAATTTTATTAAAAGTTAATTAGATACCAAAAAAATTTTACATCTTACATTTACTGATTATTTGACTATGTTGCAAAACTATTTTAATTTTGTTTGACGACCCTGGTTTTTTATTTATAAAAATTCCTGTGTCTAATGATGTGAAGTAATTAATTTGTTCACGAAACCGGTACATTAATAAAGGAATTTTATGAAAATTTTTCTATTTGATTTGTCATGAGTAACAAAACATTTCTTCAATAAAAAACAGAAAAAACTTTATTTCCTATTTTTATTTCTAGAGGACTTCCAGCCAGGTACATGAACAATTTGTCCTATGTTCCGTCCGAGTTTTCGGACCTCTTCAAGGTTAAAAGCTAATATAAATTTCCTATTTTAATTTCATTGTATGGGTGGGTTTTATTTTGTTTTTCATCATTTTTTTATTTGATAGGTATGTGATGTACGTGTAGTTCGACGAGTTAGGCAGAGAATCTCATTCTCTCATTTAATCAGTGTTGCCAGACATACCATTTTCATGGTATTTATACCATCATTTTCCCTTATGTACCTGCACTTTTTTTAAGTAATAAAACTATTATTTAAAAATGTCTACCATTTTATACCAATATTAGCAAAAGTTGATAAAAAAGTTAAATTTAGGTCGTCAGCTCCGGCCTCGGTCAGTTCTTCCATTAAAAAAAGTAAACTGAATTAAATTTTATACTGTGTACGTAGACCTTTATAAATCTGAACCTTGCGTAAACAGCGCTAGTTGTGCAAGCCCAAATAAATGATAGTCTTTTGCTGTTTTCTGTTGTTTCTGTTGTGATGATAAGACTCGTTTTTTTCAATGCTTAGTTAGCTATATTAACCGTCAGTTAGGTCAATAGAAATTTTTTGTAGCATGCAGCATGATTTATTTATAATGAAATTTGTGTTTAATACCGTTATTTATAGTTTTTTGTAATTACATTTGAGATTCGAAGTTTTGAGTTACTATGTTACCGAAATTTATTATTTATAATTTGTTCCTTTGGTGGTTCATTTTGTGAAAATTAGTGATTAACCATGGCGACTAATTTTATTATTTTAATGCTGGATATGTTAAAGGCATATTTTCAAGTAGATGAAAATGCTAGACAAGCAAAACGGCTATAATGCTATCCAAACGTCAAACGCATATGATATATTCATGTAGTGTCTGCTTTTTCGTTCTTTTAAAGTAAATGTGTATTTTTAAAATGATTATTTTCAACTTTGATTCATTTTTAGAAATGAACCATATTAAACTTAAACTATAAATTAGAGTCAATAATAGTAATTTAAAATACACAGAGAAAGTATTGCATATTTTTAATATTTGGTGCTTATTACTTTGTTTATTTATAAAAAAAAGAGTCAGGATTACCTCATTTTACGAGGAAAAATAGATAAACAGATACTTTTAACACCTTTTATTTTAAGAGCAAGCTACAAGTGTCGCTTTCCACAAAGGACTAATCAATCGCACCTTGGCCGCCTTGAAGTTTATTTCTTATTTTCGGCCAGTGTGTACAGATATCATGTTTTCTTAAAAAGAGCTCAATGTTTTATAAACTATTATATTTGTTTTGGTGCGGCGTCTACACTGATATTAAATAAGGCTAATATCGTCTCACAAAATGTCCGTGACAAAAAGGGTAATAATTTTTTAAAAAATTCAAAATTTGCAATTCATGCAATGCATGCAATTATAGGATAATTGTGATGATGAACTCTGGCTGTGGCAACACTGCCTTCAGTTACGTTATTTCTGTGAACGGCATGTACAAAGTTATCCAGTGACTATCAAAATGTTAATGGCTGAAGGACGAAAAAATTAACTATCAGAAATTAAAAATAATTTTTTTGTTCAAAAAAATTTGTACACGACGAAATATATTGAGGGTTAAAATATAACTACGCATTTAAAACTCACCCTGTATATTCAACGAGATTTGATACAACATTTTACTAACAAACGCTTTTAAGCTTTAATAATTATAGAGCCAATATTCTGCTCAAAAGCAGTTAGGCAATTTAACGTGTTAAATTTCAAGGAATATTAATGAAAAGAGAAAGTGGAAGACGTTTCTGCCATAATTATCACCATATTATTATTTGCATATTTCTGATATAATTTATTAGGCTTATCCGTTTGTCATGTTCCAAATTGTTTAATGCACGCTTGGTTTTCTTTAGCTTATCATATTTGCATTAAGGGCATTTTATCTCTATTTGCAGATTTTCCATATTACATATCCAAGACTTTCCGAGTGTTTCACTTAACAAATGCAGAACTGTTTAATCGTTATATCTGTTGCATGAGTTTTTTTAAATAAATATTTATTTAATAAATATGTGCAAATATGCTTTTTTTGGTATTAACATCTTTATTTGTATGATGAATAGAGGGTGGAAACTTGACCAGAATCCAGGATCGGTGTGGCCTCACTAGTGTATTTTTTAGACAATTTGTACAATATTTGCAAAACATATTTTTTTCGAGAATAAGATGGAAAATATATTGATAGGCTTCAAGTTTTATAAAAAAAGTATCGATTTTTAATAAAGTTACACTTTTTTGAAATTTGCACAGTGAAAAGGGAAAATTTCAAGACGGTGTAACTTAGTAAAAGAGCAATATTTTTTTGACGAAATTTAAAATCTTTCTATATATTTTTCATCTGGTTCTGAAAAAAAATGTTCTGCTAATATTTTACAATTTGTTTAAAAAATAACCTAGGGAGGCGCACAATTTTTCAACGTTTTTTTCTCAAATTTCAGTCGCAATTCTTTTCTGCAAAACTTCTTTATTTAGTGTTGATAGCTATACCATAAAGTAGCGTTTGGGTGCCATACCCCAGTACTAATATACATATGCCATAACCAAATTTCACCGGCCGCCACTGGTAAATTATTATTTTGAACACATACTGAATAATCCATAATTTGTTGTGCTCGTTTACTGGCTATTTATATTGAACAAAGCTTTTTGAATACTCAAAATTCTTAGTACTCTTACATTAACAACCTTATTACACCTGTTTCTTCCATTGTCACTCACAATAGTATATTATGTTGAGCCCAGAAGTGAGCAACTGGGCAAAACATATAATGTGCCTTCTACTCTAAGTGGCATATACTATTTTTTTCTTCAAGCGTCAAACTAAAAAAATTACGACTTTAATTTCGAAAAATGACATCAAATATGGCAAAAAAAAAAAATATTGGTAATACTAACCATTTTATTTATTAATTAAGCATAACATTGTACTAACCATTTTATTTATAAATTAAACATATAAGAGTAGCATATTTTCTGTATAAATTTAAATAAGAATCTCCAATTATAGTAAATGAGCGATGTTTTTTAGTTTTTGTATTCGGAATATTTACTAAGATTAAATCTCCCAAATCTTTTATATCATTAGCCTTTATATGAACAAGTTCATCTCATCTACAAGCTCCTGTGACTCCAAATATTAGTACAACCTAAAAAATATACTATATAATTTTATAAAAGTAAAATAAAATTAGAAAGAGCAAAAAAAAAGTTAGAAGTACAGGATTCGAACCCGAACCTTCAAATTACGAGTCCAACACTCTGACCACTGAGCTATATCCGGACTTAATCAAAGCAATCAATTCTTTTCATCTACTATTTTCATAGCGGATAGATATAAAATTACTGTAATTTTACAAATTATAACAAAATTTTATATTACAGATATGAAAGGGTTAAATATATAATTTTAAAATGCGTACATACCTTTGTTGCTAAATATTTATCATTAGGTGCTTCATTAAGGAATTTATCAAACTCTTCTTTAGACAAAACTTTTGACTTGTTAGGTTTATAATTTTCGCCTGGTCGCTTTAAAAAAGGCAATTAATTTAGAATAGTTGTCAGTTTTTACATTGTGTCCGATGTTTAATTTAGATTTTACCATTGAATATTGCGCCCATAGAATTGAACTTTCGAGTTTTTTGGATGAATCTGTAAAATATGCTATCATCGCATTTCCGTATACATATGTACGTTGTTGTCCTTGGCCAATTTTATAAATTTATCGTACACATTATCGTAAACTTTTTTGTATTTCGCGGGAATGAATGTTGCCACTGATGCATTTGCAATTGCAAGTAATTCAGGTGGTGTGTACTGCATTTCTTCAGACATTTTTGCTTTTAAATTTGAAAACCGACCCGACTTGAAATTTAAAGCTGACAATTATGACAAGTCAGCTACTTGGATTTGTAATTCGTTGTATGATAGGTACACTGCTGTGCAAAACTAAGTAGGGCAGCACTTATTACTGTACCTATAAGAGTTAAAAAGCGAGATAAGAAGAAAGGAGTATTAAAAGAAGGCCTTTAACTGGGAGACGGAGGAGATATGATAGTTGAATCCGATCAGCAATTAGTAAATTATCTGCGTGGAAAAGCAGATACATTTATATTACATATATATATATATATATATATATATATATATATATATATATATATATATATATATATATATATATATATATATATATATATATATATATATATATATGTTGTTTTTTTCAGGTTTTTGCGGGTGGTGAATGTTAAATTCGTTTTCCGGGTATACTCCCGCGTAGGTGATAGGCCCTGAGAGGGACCATTTTTTCAGTTCGAGTAACCAGAAGCCGCAGTAAGCAGTTATCTGTTAGAACCTGAAGATGGCAGATGAGATTCTGCCGAAACGTCGTTCAGACAACCACGGTCCCTCTCGGGGCCTATCACCTACGCGGGAGTATACCCGGAAAACGAATTTAACATATATATATATATATATATATATATATATATATATATATATATATATATATATATATATATATATATATATATATATATATATATATATATATATATATATATATATACCACTACTGTCACTGTCCTACTTACTTTTGCACAGCAGTGGACATTGTTTCATTTTTGTCCTAGGAAAAAAATACAAAATATTTGTATTAGTACAAAAATAGTCTCTTTCTCTAGGACGTGTTGCAATATATAATGTGAGTATTGTTATACCCTTGAAGAAAAAAATTTATTTCATACATCCTCTATAATATTGCCCAAAATATTTTTATACGTACTTGGTACATATGTTTTACGTAATGTATGGCTACTAGGTAAAGGAAAATCTGATACATATTTTGCAAAAGAAAACTCTAAAGTCAACATTGTCGACTACTTTCCATGACAGACCACATGCATAAAACTTGACACACAAATCATAAAAAAATCCTCTTTTGTAACTGTACCTGCAATATTAGTAAGAGCGTCGTATGTGAGAATGTTTGCGGACCATATGCCAAACAGCGTTTCGTACGCAGTCGTGTTGCTAACCGAGGAATAAAAGCCCAGTAACCTTTAATATTATATACGTCTATCCCGGTTTTCTGCCTCAATACTGATTATACAGTTTATATGTATTACAACTATATAAATACACACCACATATATTTTTATGTAGAGTGTTTATTTATATACCTGTAATAGAATTTTTTTATATAACTGCCGGGCCCTGAAATATAGCAAATATTTCCTCTGTCTAATGACAAATCTTAGAAGAATATGGTTTTATACTATTTTTTTTTGTTTGTAAAATGATGCGAGCAGTGTTGTGAGTCATCAACAAAATACTTAAATGGCCAATAGCTACAATCTCGTCAAATTGTAAAAAGCTCCAAATTACATCTCTGCACAATACTATACACAAGTGCATAAGGCGCTGAACATTTCAGACCAATAGTGATGATATGAATATTTGTAAAAAAAGTGCCAGAATACGAGTTTTTCTAATTCGGACAATTACTGGCAAAATTTGGTAAATATACATATATGTTGGTGAGTTTGTAGATATAAAAAACACCGTAAACGTTTATAGATTTGAACTTAAAATAAAGTTAAAAAATATTTGCATGCGGCGCTGTTTGCATCCCCTCACTGGCAACTACATACATATACCTAGCCGTGATTGTCCAAAATATATTTTGGCCCCACCAGGAATTGTCCCAAGTAGCTCCCATGTAAAACGCCACCTTGAAATTTCAACTTCACCAAGAAATTCAGCACAACAATAGTTGTAAATGTGTAAATCATATGTTTCTGTATTTAATCCTCATAGATATATCTTGAAATTACAATGAAAATAGGTCACCCTGTACATAGAGCCATCTAATACATTCTAAAGGAGCTATGTGCATAAAACAAATGCATGAAACCTTTATCTCTTGATAAAGTATTAGTGGAAATGCAATATTTTGTTACGTAGTACCTATAAATTGAGATTATTATTTATTTATTTGTGGCCTCTAGAAGCTCATAAGGAAATCATTTACAGAACAGAAAGGTTTCAGGATAATATATCGGCAAGCAGTGAGCATGTTTTGGAGAAACTTCATTTTCTTTAGTGGATAAACATTCGTCTATGGTTTTTTCCATTTTTTTTTTCCAACGATGTAGGTTTTATTACTGTATTTATAGTTCTATTCTGCTCAGACGTGATAGCATAGTCGGCTAGAGTACATTGTGTATCAGATGGAATGGTTGTGTACTACGTTTTTATTTGCGTTTCTTTAACTCACAATGTAGTTTTTTTCTAGAATGTTTGTCTTCAAATCTTGCATCCTTCATTTAACAGGCTTCCTCACATAGGTAACCAATTAATAAAATTTTGCACAGTTACTAAGGTTGGATGTGACAATACAATATTCCACCGTTACTTTTGCAAATATCCCCACGTAGGGGGCACGGGGGTGAAAATTGAAAAATCTGCAAAAGTATGAAAATAATTTAATGTAAGATAATAATTTAATCAAAGTATGACTAAAAAGTAGAAAATAAAAAAAAATAAATGAAATTTTTTTAAAAACTTGCTTTACTTAGTCATACTAAAAAACATAATTTCTTTGCCAAAAAAAAGCAAGGCGTGCGCACTTTTTAACACGCTTTTATTAGCTTCACTTGTATGTTTGTTTGTTTGTTTGTTTGTAACCGACTCTTTGGACTCGATTTTGACCCACTTTAAACGGACAGATTTAATTGAAACTTTGTACACTTACGAAGAACCGGTAACAATACAATAATTTGATAAGTTTATATCATTATCCTGATCAGGATCGCCAGTCCTTTCCTCACGTATCCTCTGCGTGAGAGCAAGAGGCTTAATATTGTAAGTATATTCCGTGATTCTCAGTTCGGTCGTTAGCCGAGCGGGCAAGTCTTAGTCGACGCGAAACGACGGACTCCTCGGGCGTGAGTTCAAATCCCATGGCTGAAATAAAAAAATATTTTTTTTTTCAGAAATATCTGTTGGATCGTAATATGTTATAATATCAGCATCAATAAGCAATATAAATATAGTTTAAAAAAACTACAAAACACGCTTTCATAGTACATCAAACTAAAAAGTGAAAAAATAAATATAGTTTAAAAAAACTAAAAAACACGCTTTTAAAGCACATCAAACTAAAAAAGTGAAAAATAATTATTAATATAAACTGAAAACAATAATGAACGAAAAATACTAGTATTATTGTGAAAAAGCGTGGGGCGCTTTGTGCCATATTTTTCGTATATCGAGCAACCCACGCTTTTTTCACAATAATACTAGTATTTTTCGTTTATTATTGTTTTCAGATTATATTAATAATTATTTTTCACTTTTTAGTTTGATGTGCTTTAAAAGCGTGTTTTTTAGTTTTTTTAAACTATATTTATTATAATCTGCGCACGCCTTGCTTTTTTTGGCTTTTTTTTTTTTTTTTTGGCAAAGAAATTATTTTTTACTTTTTAGTACGACTAGGGAAAGCAAGATTTTAATTTTTTTTTTCAAAGTATAATTCCTTTCCGTATAAATTTTACATCTAGATTTGGGAGATTGTCCAATTTATGTGATATGTTTTAAGTTTCAATGTTTAATCTATTGTCAAAATTGTTTAAATCTGTAAAATATTATCACTATCTGACTGATGGTCGAGAGGCAAGAACAGTTGGCTCTCACCCAAATGTCCCGGGTTCAAATCCCGGCCGTGGCACTGGGATTTTTCTGTGAGAGAGATTAATCGTAGTATACTCGATTATTGGATGTGTGTCCGTTGTCTCTAAATGTGTAGCCTTCTCTCACACAATGTCAGTTTAGAGATGTAGGAGGTTATATTATCTGTGGTGTTTATTATTATTATTATTTTTATCACACAAAAAATTTGATTATTTAAACATAAAACTCAATTATATCTAAATAAGTTTGTTGATACGTTAATCCATCGTCAACTTGACGATGGATAAGAAACTTTAAGAATATTATCTTCTATTAGTTTTTCTATCAAAAAAGGTGGTCCTTATCAGAAAATTGGAAAAATTTCCTATTCCATGCAAGTGTGATGGAAGCTACTTTGTTACCCACTTGTTTTCGAAGGCAGTCATCAGTTTAACTTCTTTTATAACCAAAAATTAAACAGTATTAATCAAACACGCGCACTGCTGCACATTGAGTATTATTATGCAATAAATCCTTACAGCTGTGTTAATTCAATTAGTTGCCGAGTTTAGTTCAGTTCATTAATTTGGAAAATTGGATAAACACTTATATTCCCAATCTTGGAGTTTAAGCCGAATTTAAATTTTGATATGCATGTTATTGTTTGAATTGAAATTGCTTAAGGTTTATTTAAATTGAATTACGTTATAGGGATATAAACTTTTTTACAGATATCGGAACTAGCAATAGGTATGGGACATCCAGTATGCCTTATTGCTTTTTTTGAATAGAGTAGGATTGATAATTTTATCAGTTTTATAGTAGATTACTCAAGAAAAATGTTGTACTGAATATTCTACCATGGCGGCCGCCCATTCATGTCTTTTGGTAGATAATGAATATGTAAAAGATGTAATGAAAACCAGTCAATTACAATACTAAATAATTTTTAGAAAATGACTAATTTAATAATCATAGATACATTTTGTTGCAATTTTTCAGTCCTCATACCTACAAAAATTTTTTTTATTTAAGTAATAATTCGATACCATAGATTTCTTTAACAGAGATCGCCACCAGCTATAAAAAAAGTGTAGGAACAGCTCCTCATATGGTTTGGACATGATCGTATTATCCAAAGCCGCCGCTAAAGTGCCTGTCGCCCGTGTGCAGATTTACCTTTATAACTCCTCTAAATACAGGGTGTCACAACCAAAAGTAGAGAGATTAAATATCTATAATTCTGTCGATTTACTTCACTATTTAAAATGAAATTGCATTCATCGGGGAGAATAATATTTGTTTTTCAGAAGAGGATCCATTGCACATATTCACCATTGTTTCACAAAATTGTATCCTCCGATCTAGATCATCATCACTTCGTTCTTGCATAAGCCGAATCTAAAAAGGGATGCCACTTTTCTAATTTTAACACTGTATGTACTGCCGTTTTAATAACATCATAATCGTGACTAACCTGGTATGTGGAATTTCTTCAACAGCCAGTAAAATATTTAGTTTTGTGACCTCGTAAACACCTAAGTTATCTGTTTTGGATAAATCTTCCACCGTACCAGTCTCTAATTTTTTTTTTTTAATTTTACTTACTGTTGATTGAGTTTGGGTCGTTCTGGATATTTAGTATTAAATCAATTACATACCTCTTGTTGAATTCGTATCCTATCACCATACCTAGTCATCGTAAAAATTTCAATTCTCTGCTTTGCAGATACACATGTTATAAATTAAAATAAATCGACAACTATTATCGAGAAACCACTACTGGGGTAAAGTATTATTATGTGATTCACTGTCAAAGACGATAACGACAAAACAAAAAAACAAACAAAAACTAACCTATTTCAAAGATTAATAAAAATCGTGTTTATTTTACTTTTTTATTTACTTTTTTTAATGGTCATATCCTCCAGCACATCAAAGTTAGACCCTAAGTGTTACATATTTGGATCATCTGTTGAAGCAGAATCCAAAAATGGAGAAATATATAGTGTTACACTTAAAAAAATATGACGTCATAGCGGAAACAGTTATGATGTCATAACTGAAATAAATTATAGTTTAAGAAACTAAAAAAAAACACGCTTTAATAGCAAACCGAACTAAAAAGCAAAAAATAAGAATGAAGTGATTGACAAAAAAATTCATTTTACTGTAAAAAGCGTGGGGTGCTTGATATCAATTGTTATAAATATTTTATTGGTAGCTGTTAATAAAAGTAGAGTTATCATAAAAATATAGTAAAAAAGCACCCACGCTTTTCACAATCAAGTCTTCAAGAATTTTTTGTCGAAATTTTTTAATTACAATTTTTTTCAAACTTAATAATTAATAATTTGAATTTATTTCGGATTTTTTTATTTTCTTTTTCAAATTATTGTATTGTTATTGTTGAATTGCTGTATATTTTGATAAAACGAAAGAATTAAATACTTAAAAAAAAAAAACATTCTTAACGTAAATTGGTAACTAGTTCATCTTGTATTTCAAGTATAGTATGAGTTTGCGGTATTCAATTAGTGATTAACTTTCTGCCAACTTATCATGGATGTGATATTTTGGCGAATGCGCCGATCACACAACTTTGACATCCGCTTAGAATTTTTTTAAGATGAATGCATCGATACGCATTCAAATTATTGTATTGTCATCGGTCCTTAATACGAGTGCAAATTTTCAATTTAATCAGACGTCTTGAAGTTTGTGAAAATTACGTTGAAAGATCCCGTTACATAGATACATACAGGTAAAGCTAATATAAAGCGTGTTAAAAAAATAAAGCATAAGGCACACTGTATTGTGATGCCTACATACATACGTTTATGACCAAAGTTGCCACGCTCTACATCTTTAATTAAAGAACCATCGAAATAAATCCACTCGCAATCCACAATAAGGATGTACAAAAACTGATGGATGTTCTTCATTAAGAACGTCTCAAAATTGAATCAAAGTGGTTCAAAACCTGAAAAAATCATTTATTTAAAGAATCGAAAACGCAACAAAACATCAATAATAAACAAGCAGAAGGACAGGCCACCAATCATATAACTAAAAACAACAAAATAGAACGAAAGTGATTCAAAACCTGAAGAAATTATTTAAGAACAGAAATCAAGCAAAAACGCAACAAAACATCAATAATCAACTTACAAACCACCAATCATATAAACTTAATAAAATTATTTCATCAGGGTTTCTTTATTTATACTTGTTTGCATTTTTACAGACAGTTCATATATAAGCACTTTCCAATTTCAGTCTTCGTTTGTTTTAAACGTTATTTCATATAATTAAGCATCATCATTAATGTGATTTTGGGTATATTTTACGGTTTTGATTAATTTAACCACTTAACTTAAAAGGGCACGTTTGCTTCTATGAAAAGAGAAATTGTGGTAATAAATGGCCTCATTTTTTATTTTATTCAACCTTAATACATGCGTGAAAATGTATCCGTACAAGGAATGGTTTACCAAATACATTATGTATAATTTTGTATAACTAATGGGTATGTCGGAATTACCAGAATTATTATGTGGGGTAGAAAAATTAATTACTGAAATATTAAGGCTTCCGTTATATTTATACATACCGGGTGTAACAGGATCATGGTACACCTCTTTTCTCCTTTAGTTTTGAAAATAATTGATTAAAATTTGGGATATCCTATATACATAATAAGCGGCCCTTTTTGAGATACAAGTGGTTTTTTTTTTGCCGGCTTCGCCGGAAGTGACACTAATTTTCGATTTTTAAATCGAACACCCTGCATATTATTGCATTTTTGATTTTTGCATAATTTTCTGAATCCAACGATACCAAATAAGTGACATTTTAAACGTCAATATTTTTTATAATGTAGTTTTTAGTTTTCCATTTAAGTGTGCCATGACGGTTCCGATTTATTCTAAATGACTCATGTAATGCTAGAAAAATCGAAATCCCGTCAAAAATACTAAATTACATGATTTATGAGCAAATAAAGTTCATCAAAATGGTTTTTGGGGGAAAACTCAATTTTTTCAAATGAAACTATATTGGTACCGCGGTAAAAGTTATTAGTACTATTAATAAGGAATTTATTCATATGTCGTATTAAAATGTGCGATAAATACAAACAAAATTACAGCTAAAGGAGAATAAAAAATACAATTTTGTTCTAATTAAATGTTAAGAAGGCACCAACTAAGGTGGCTTTGAAAGCAATGAAATATTTAGCTTGTCAAATATTTGTTGTTTTACTGGAGTTTTTATTGTGTCTTTAAAATTTGTTGAAAATTCTTGCTAATTGTGTTCAAAATGCAACAAATTTATAAAAGAGATGAAAAAGTGGACATGTTAATTATTTATGGGGAATGTAAAAAAAATGCCATTGAGGCTAGACACCTTTATGCCGAACGATATCCTGATAGACGAGAAATTATTTTAATCGTCTTGAAAATCAATTCCGAGGTGAGCCCAACAGTGATTCCGAAGAAAATTTCATTCTTGAAGAAGGAACGGAAATTAATGTTTTGGCTCGAGTAGAAGTTGATAAGACTGTTTCTTTAAGGCAAATTTTGTTTGAATTGGAAATCAGTCACCAAACAGTAAGCCGAATTTTCCACAAATACCACTATAAATCTTTTAAATACCAATTGCACCAGCACTTGTACGAAAATGATTACGAACGTAGGATGGAATATTGCAATTGGATTTTTGCAGAATAACGTGCAGCCAAACAATAATTTTTTGGAAATGATTTTATTTTCGGACAAGTCTAGGTGTACAAATTTGGGATTATTGAACCGATAAAATACAAAATATTGATCACAAGAAAATCAAAATTTATTACCGGAGGGTAATTTTCAAGTGCGGTTCGGTTTCAATGTTTGGCTTGGAATAATCGATAGTAGAATCATTGGTCCAATTATATCTGAAGGATCCCTGACTGGTACCAGATACTTAGGATTTCTACAAAATGAAATTGGGGATAGTTTAGCTGAATTACCTTTCCATTTACGAGAGGAAATGTATTTCCAATAAGATGGCGCTCCT